TCATCAAAGACGGTTTTCGTAACTGCAGATCAAAAAAACGGTGAGTGAGAGATTAAACTTTAAGTAAAACTAATTACTCTTAGTTGTTTGCCATACAAGTAACTAGTAAACCAAATGTTAAGCATTGGTGTCAATTTGGAATGGACATCAATCGATTGGTCACACAAGCCACTAAGGTATTGCCGGGGGGAAAGGGGGGGACAAATAGTTTTTTTGACACAGCATACTTTATAAACACTCGTCACAAGAAAGGTCCATCATACAGACATTTTCTCATCGGATCTAAATGAAATTTGAGAATGATTTCAACGAGGCGAATTTCGCATCAAATTCGCCACGAATTTGTTTCGATATTGTCTTTTGATTTCCACAAAACTGCGAATCTGCTGCGAAATTTATATGGATTTTCCCTAGAGCTCAATTTTAAAGCCCCCATTTTCAAAACTGTACGCATGGCAAATGTTCATAGATTGTTTTCTTATAAATTAAGCAAATTTACCATGCTTTGACTGGTTATTAGGTGCTGCAAAATATTTCGCCGCAAAAAAGTAGAACTCTTTTCTACTTTCTTGCAAATTCGCTGCGAAAATCAAAAATCAAAACTGCGCATGTCTCGATTTCTTCATCAGCGATTTCACTGCGAAATTCGTATCGTGGAAATCAGCCTTAAAAGCGATTTTACTTACAGCAAGGGGGTTTTATCCTTCTTTATCAGCCACCATCAGCGTTCAGCGGAATCACAGGAGGCTGCGGGGTGCGACACCTCCTCCAAAATATTTTTGTGTTAATCTGTAAATTTTGCTTCGATTCGGTAAAGCATATTTTGGTATTAGCTATTTACAGAATGATACAGAACAGTCACTTTATTTTCTTTATCTTAAAGTTAAAAGCTGAATTTTAAATAATAGGCAGTTTCCAGGCACCTGAAAGGTGTGACACAATCTCTAATCATTATCTGACACCCCCAATCATTATCTGACACCCCTAATCATTATCTGACACCCCCAATCATTATCTGACACCCCCTAACCTTGCTGCTTAAATCCGCCCCTGTCGACGTCCTTTTAAAAAACCTAGCTATCGTTCTAAAAGCGACTGAATGTTCACAACCATGACCCTTTTCGATAAAAACCTATTTGAATGATTACAACTTTAGAAGAAATTCTCAGCCTCACTATTTTCTTTGCCCTTCTGCATCTTCTTCTAAGTTTGGAAGGATAATGATAAGGCTGACACGACTGTCCCCTTTGATACTACGATTTTGCATTTAGTCAATCAAGCGTAGACGTCAGAAAAGGTTGGCAATTCCGTTGAACCTTTCACGTTTAGGAAGGCTTCAAGTTTTGAAGACAAAATCAAAAAGAAAGTTCGTGTAGATTGTAGGTGTTCTATGCTTTCAGTCTATGGCCTCTCGTTAGTCATTTCAAGTAATCCTGATGGTATAGCTCTTATCAAAATTTACAAATTAGCAGAAATCTGTTGATTGGCAATTGACAAGGTTTCCAAATTTCCCTTTGAAAGCTGGCAGTGGTTCTAAACCCCCTCAACTTCAAAATGCTTAAAACTAGCGTCAGCTGCTGCTGCAATGTTATCGTTCTCTTCAATTAATTTTGTTCTAGAGCCAAAAGACAAGCAAAATGCTTTTTGGAAATACAAAAACATCTCTGCTGAGCAAAAACTGGACAACATTAGGATAACATTTTCTAAAACAAGAAACAACAGTGATTACCTCTTTGTTGAAAATAAGAACAGTTTCAGCATATATGACAGTGAAGATGTCGAGATTTTCTGTGATAGCAAAACTACAAATGGTGAAGATGATAAAGATGAGGAAGGTATCTATAACATTGATGATGTCGAAGTTGAAGATACAATTAATCTTGTAACAAATGCATATGAAGAAAATTGTTTGGAATATGAGAAAAAGATAAAAGAGTTGGACAATTACAAAAGACGCCTTGACATGCAAGACCCAAGAAGGTTGGTTTCTTACTCATCGAACAACTGGAAAAACACTTGCCTCGTCAGTCCAAAGTATTATGGAAGTAACATAATGTGGAGAAAAGGTACTATTTGTTACATTTCAGCACTATGCTTTTTTTCTTAGTAATAAAAAGTCCTTCAACTGAATCGGTATTGGTGAAGCAATTAGATTGTTCAATCTTCAAACTTCAAAATAAACGTTTTTGGCAGATATTTTCACGCCGTTTCTGAATGTGAATTCGTGTTATGGTTCCTGAGAAATGCATCGTATTAGAAAAACATCTATATTTACTGTTTTACATCACATACCGTAATATTGCAATAGACGTAGTATTGCGATAGAGAGGGCTTTTTTAAAACTAGAGCCTAATTGAATTATTACGATATAACATGGCTGCTAAACCACATAATTTTTAAGTACTAAGACTCTTTAATCTTTTTTCTAGCGTTGACTCATTGTTGCATCATCTTTACTATCGTAAACGTTGACTGCACTATATATACTGTACTTTTCTATGTAACTGTTAATAAACTGCAATAATACGACAATAAAGAATATTCTATTTGATTTCAGATGTTAAGGGTTTTGTGATCAGACAGAAAAGACTTCTTGAGAGTCGCAATCCAGCAGAGCGACAAAGAATGGGTAAAATGTTTTTTAAACTTTTTAAAATAAAAGTTAAAGAGTATAAATCTTAGTATTACACAGCTTATTAACGTTTTTCTCAATTCAGCAAAGTATCAATCTATCTTTCACTGGGTTGATTGAAATTTCCCAATCAATAAAACAAATGCCTAATTTGTCATTCTTACCGATCTTGCTGCATAACTTAGGCAATTTTTGCATAAATTAAGCAACTAGTGCATAAATTAGGTAAATTGTGGATAAATTAGGATACTTATGCATACCTTTGTGGAGGTATCCCTGGTGATACTTAATGCGAAAGGCCGCACTACACCTTCAAGAAATTGAGCTGACCATAATCGTTTTTGTGATTTATTGATTTAGCTAATTGAAAGCGAAACCAAGCAATAATTAAAAGCACTGATCGACAGGCCAACAAGTAATATTTCAGTTTCATATAGAACTAAGACTGACGGAGATTCGAAAGAGCTAAAAGTTCATTTTGCTTTTGTAGATGGTCTTTTTTCACACCTTGCCTTCTTCTCTCCGAAACTATCATATGGTGGAAACATTGCATTGGCTGCTAAGGACGAAGAGTTTCCTCTTCCCCTTATTAACATTATCACAACAGAACACTCTGAAATGATAACTGCGCGTGTTATGATTAATACAACAATACTCAGGGGTATCGCAGCAAAAGTCCACGATAACCCCAAATGCAAGACAACGCTGGATAACGCGGAAAACACTATCAGGATTCTCAGGTGCATCTTTCAGTCCAGATGGGCCGTTCATGCATTGCAAGATGGTCATGGCAACAGCCATAATTATGTTTCAGGAAATGTTGTTTTGAAAAGACCAACCCCTTTTGCTGAATGCTCTCTTGAAGAAGCAAAGCATGCAGGATTATGCTAAATTTTGGTTTAAAATAAACATTTTACTATAAAAACATTTGATCGTGCATTTTAGCAAATTTGATATTTTTTAACCTATACATTTAATTTTTTTGTAAATCAAAATTTCTGATGAAGTTTATCATATTAGATTTAATGTGTTTTTCACGCAATTTTTTTCTTGTGCAAGATTCATGAGTGAGTGGTAACATTTCTTTCCTTTTGTTGAACTAGGGTTATTTATAGTTTCATAGCATAGGTCTCAATTTTGCTTGGTGAAGTCTAATTACTAGAGTACTTAGTAAGTACTGCCCGCTCTTCCAACCCACCCTCAATTTGTTTCCATTGCGTAACACAGTGGTGAAGATTGGAAAATTCATAGGAGGGGGGGAGGGGGGCAAGAAATTCAAATTGTCCGGCAAAACCTAATAAGCATTCTATTTTTCAAAAATTCGAGCAAAACATAACGACATTGGTACAAAAATAAAGCAGGGGATAAATTCTTATGATTTTTGAAAGTCTGGTTTCATAAACAATACTACTTAAAGTCTCTTAATTATAGTGCAGAAACGGGAATTTGGTTGTTTTAAAAAATAACAAAAAATATAGAGTACTTAGGTGATTACGTCAAACAATTATATTGTTAGAATTTTAGAATTTGGAACCCATAACCCATAAACTAAAAATTTCATCAATGTTGGAAAGGCAACCCCCTGGTTCGAGTTCACATGTTAAGCTGTCGCGTGACAGGAACATAAATATGTTATGTTCTGTTATATATTAAGTATAAAAAAGACAACATGATTGATTTTCTATCGCAAGCCCTCGATTAATAATCGATTTACAAGAATCATCAAAAAACTCACAATAACTGGCTGTGAGCACAAGCTCTTTCCCCACTAAACCTCTGCACTTTGGACTTTGCATTTTTGGAGGTATTTCATTGTTTTCTTCAATTCAAGATTATGCAGTCAAAATTCAAAAATTTCAAAAAAAGATTATTTTATGACGTCAAGTTAAATGCTGCAATTGAATCAGGGGGTGTGGTATTAAAAGATGAGCACGACACGGGGGACAGCATAATAGTTTCCAAAAAAACAAGAACAGGAGGTAAAAATGTTTAGTTTTATATCAAAAAGCCAAAAAGCTTTTCCTCGCGAAACCTCTAGCTTTACACTCAAGGGTTGAATCGAAATAAGGGTGCAAGCTCACAGGCTGGAAGGTGACCTGATATTATCCATAACAGCTGGAAGGTGGGATAGAATCTGCATGTAAACATTCCATGATTTTATCCCACCTGCCAGATTTTGGGCTGAGAGGTGGGATAATTTGCTCATATAAACAGGCCTTAAGACTGGAGTCTCTTGTGGAATAGTGGCCCCAAGCAAATCAAATGACCGTTGCTAAGAAAGGATATCGTGCTAATCGGGCTTTTGTTACTTGCTCAAAGACGTTTAGAAACGAGCATCCCAACTGACAATACATCGACGGCTTCATCAATTCTAAAAAAAATAATGCTTCTTCCTATGCTGAAAAGGTATTTAAAGACTTGGTGGAAGAAGCTATTGTACATTTCAACGACTGGCAAGAGGGTTGCTGTACCAGGCAGAGAACAGCGATTCTACACAGATAACTTTGTAAGTTTGCTTCGTTATTCCAACTACATTTTTTATAAGAACCAGTAAATTGAAGCTCAGTCTGGCTGTTCTTAATTTTCTCTCTCGAAAATTTGAGGCTGGAGTTCTTAATTCATTTTAAATTGCAAGCTAGTTTTGTTCAGGCCTAATTTGCCAAAGAAATGCGCAAAGAAAATGGTTTCACAGTCTTTTGATGAGGTTTCACATTATTGTTTATAATTAAATTTTACTGCACCTAAGCCTCAGCTTGTTCTTAATTTGTTCTAAATTTTTGACCAATTTGAAACATCATCATTGCCGCGCCGCATGCTTCTCGTGAAGTTAAGTTCTGTTCCTTTTACTCTGAAAAAAAAGAGGTATCGTCAAACAAGAACGGAACCAAAGAGTTTCGTCCTTATTTCTGTAGTTTAAACTGGACTGTGTTTCTCTGATTGGGGAGGGGACCATATATAGAGACACCCAACTTCATAAAGTGCGTTGCAAGTATACCTCAATGCTTAGGGCTTAGAGCCCGTTCACACTACTCCGTTTTCAAATGAAAACGGAGTCAAACCTATCCGTTTTTGCATGGCATTCACACTACTCTGCTTGAAAACGGAGTCGTTTGAAAACGCTAATGAAAACGGATACTTTCGAATACGGTGGGTATTGAATACGCTCCATTTTCAGTGTGAACACAAAAAACGGAGACACTGAATACCCTAACATCGGCAACAAATTACGTGCTTTGTAGCGAAATTTTGAATTTTCATCAACGAAAACGGAGCGAAACGAATACGGAGTAGTGTGAACGTAGCCTCAGATTCCACGACTGCCAACAAGGTGAGAATTTAAGTCCTTCAACTTGATGGCGATTGGGCCACTTTGAAGACAACGACGAGGCTACCATTGTATGGTGCAGGCAAAATGGGCTGCTTTCGACATCACAAGACTGCGATGTATGCCAGGTACCGTGTAGACACAGAATAGGAATTATTTCTATTCTGTGGTGTAGAGAAGGTCAGTACCGATCGACGCGGCATCGATGGCAATATTTAGAGATGTACACATGGCAGAAAAAAAATAAACATCAGAATAGGAAGCTTTTTGAGCGCGCATCTTTGAAGCTGTGGCAGGCTATCGGCTTGACAAACCTATGAGCTACAAGTGCGGGCTGCCCGAGGGGGCTGTGTTGCAAACAATGAGGAGACTCAAAATGAACGGCGAGCACACCTCTGTAGACTGTAGTCAGTATGTTTCTCAATTAGGTATATATCACGCTCCTTTTCTATTGAATTCCTTTGTACACAACTCCTAGCCGTCCCGATTAGTTCCGATATCAATACTTTGTTCAAACCACACGATGTGAGAGTTTTTGCTTCATAGTGGAATCACTCACATGCGAAAGTTTCTCGCCTTTCTGCCGCAGTATATCGACTCGCTTTGTAATCATAGTAAATGTATTTGTTCTACTCATCAATTGATTGGCTACAGAGGCAACTTTTTTAGCTTTCAATTAATTTTTCAATAACTCATGAAATTCATTTTATCTTGGCATCTACAAATAAAATGTTCGGACTTTTTGATAGAGAGACCCTGTCTATGCTTGGGTCCGGGGGTCCTAAAAATGTTAGTGCGGTCCTTTTTCAATGAAAATGTTGGATTGTTGTAACCATTTCTTTCTGAAATTCTGTTTTATCACGTACCATCTTCGCTATTCGCTAGTACTTTGAACGCAAATATAGTTTCAAGCTGCGAAGATACTAAAACAGATCATGTAAACAAAGTATCAGAGGGTGATGGCACAGTGTCTTGAAGAATAAATCGATCTTTGCTAGCTGTAAGAGCATATTATTAAACAATGTTGCCCCCAATCATAACCCCCTTGCTTCCAGGCCTTCTCCTCTTCCCCCCTCATCTGCTTGTGGAATTGACTGTCGACCTCTGCCACCCGCATTTCCAGCAGTTTGTCTTTCAAAAGAGAGACTTCAACAAATCCAAGAAAACGTTTACAATAGCTTGTGTGCAGACTAAAATTTCTCCTCCGTGAAGTAGAAGAGTCCGCAACAATGCCAAAATACTTATTCAGCCTCTTTTTTAATCACTGAGCCGCAGCAAAAACCAACGCCCACTTTAGTCACACGTTTTTACCGCTTTTGTGCAATATATGGTAGTTGTTGTCAGTTTTTTTCCTTTTAAGTGGTGGCAGTAGACTTAAATATTCGCAGACATTGCACTATAAACACGCAATAAACGCAGAATTGTCCGTATTTTGAAATTCCCCTGTCGCACCAAAATCAAATTTTGATTGGGTGAACATTTACTCGAAATAAAAGGGCACGCACGTAAGTGCTGGGAAACATCTTCACTAAAGGTGACTTTAAATGATCCTGGGTATTTTTTTCGTTTGCAGGAAACGATGAAGAACTTCATCTTCTGGATCAGTATTTTTTCTCTGCAACTTCTTTTAGCATCAGGTGAGTCTTTTCTAGGGACAAGCGTATAACGGCAAATTGCTTAGAGCTAGTTAAGGAATACGAGCAATATTGGGAATGCCTATTTCATCGAAAGGCTCTTTAATAAAACTATTATATTACAGGCAGCAGTAAAGTAATGTAGCGGCAGCCAGTTGGTATCCTATAGCAAATGTTTATGCTTTATCAAATGAACAATGATGCCAAACAAATACACTTAGGGTACAAAGGTATGGAAACGGTAGTTAAAAATGGCGGCTCGCAGTGATTTATCGCCCTAGGCCCTTGGCCGTTGTGAGCCGCCATTATTGACTATCGTTTCCATACTTTTGTACCCCAAGTGTACAGAAGGATACATGCAATGTGATAATTTGAGAAGAGATAAAACTAAATATTTATTTAAGTACAAAACTATAGAAACAAATTGCTTCCTTGCTCTGAGGCTTTCTGAAACACTTTTTATCCCAATAATAGTAAACATGTGCTAAGTTCCCTTCCAATAAAAAGTGCCACGGTTGATGTGCTAATATAATTATTAAGCATTTGTAAGTCTTGAAATATCAGATTCATTTCCCCAATCTCTGAAGAGCTATTTTACTTTGAATCCCCCCCCCCAAACCCCACACTGTCATTACATTCCGGACTACCACAGACCCCTTTGCCTATTATAATTTTGAGTTGCTTTACCGAACTTTTTTTCATAAGGGTCGGCTATTGATTCAAATGCAGCAAAGAATGAAGACGAGCCGATATTTGAAGATGACCTGGAACAGATGGCTGAGGAAGATCCTTATGAAGCAGATATGCAACACCCAATGTATTTGCATGATTCAATAGGTATGCATTATGCCATGTGTATAAAACATCCGATAGGTATCCCATGGCTGATTTTTATGTAGCAGCCAGTTGGTATCCTATAGCAAAAGTTTGCCCTTCATCCAACATGCAATGTGTATACAACATTCGACATAATTGGTGAAATGATGACGTCATAAACATCTTATTTCGAATTTTTAAAATTTTGATTATGAAATCGAAAACTTTTAAGAAAAGAAAACCAGTTAAATATGTTGAAATTGTCTGATTTATGGCTAGTGAAGTTGCTCACAGATAAGTGTAGCTTTTGCTTGGATTGCAAAGTTTACAACTTATTCCAAATTCTAATGATTTGATAGAGAAAGTACATGAGCTCATCGGACTGTTTCTCAGCTAAATTTGGTTACATTTGACTGTTTCATAATCATTCTTTCAATGTCTAAGAATATTTCAGAATATATATTATCAGGCTATATCATCAAATTGAAAAGCCTCAAAATAGATTATTATCACGACATCAATCTATAGGAATACCGTAGGGGATAAAAAAAGTTGTAAAAATAGACAAGGCAATCAGTGGCAGTGCCAGCCATTAGGCCTTAGGGGGTTCAAAATTTAGGCCACGCCCATTTTACTGTCAGGAAACACTCTGTTACCAACAGGGGACGCTAGTTCTACCAAGTGCAAACGTCCTCGAATAACATTTGTCTAAAAAAGGCAGTTTCAAGATATTACCCCTTCCCAACATTTTCCCATCGAATTTTAGACAAGAGACAAAATCATTCCCTCCGAGAAGTGGGGGGGGGGCGTGGGGGCGTGTCTATTGCAAGGGATCATGGCGCAGAATCGATGGCTTAGAGCTCAAGCCGGCTTAATCGTACTTTGAACATGATTTTGTGAAAGTATCGACAGAAATTCGCCACAACCTTATTGAAACTCAAAGAAAACCTTATCTTTTCAGATGAAGACTTGACTTTCAAAGATGCATCACCAGGTAAAATGAAGAAATTTTGTACATAAAACAATAGGGAATAACATTAAACCTCTCGCCAAATTGCTATTATAGTGCCTACCCTAAAAAATATGGGAAAGATAGATGTCAGTTCACTCCGATTGATATGATTTAATGATTTATACATACAACCAATATTTATAAAAGCATTGTTTGGCATTTTTAATCTTTTCTGCACTTTTTTATGCTGCCTGGCCCGGCTCTGTCTGTATTTACGTATCATAAAACAAGAATTTAGGTATCATAAAAACGTCAACGAATCACAGATACATTTATCAAAATAGACTTGCATTGATCATATATACAACAATTCCTGGTACAATTTACATACATTCATAGTTGTTATATTGTTTCGGAACTTTTATGAATGATCACTATCAACTTTCTGTCGACCTGGTGTGATGGACGGCTAAACATAAAGCAGATCGTTGGCTTCTGTGAAAAAGATTCAGGGAAGTCACCAGGTCTTGATGGAATTTAATTTGTTTGAATTGATAAGGCTGGGGAAGAGTTGTTAGGAGAGTGGTCAGGGGAACTAGACGTGTCGTCAGAAGAGTCGCCAGGGGAACTAGACGTGTCGTCAGAAGAGTCGTCAGGGGAACAAGACGACTGGTGAGAAGGTTGGCCAATATCTTTCCTCAATGCAGACAGTCGAAGCACTACAGAAGAGGACACCACGTTCCTTATGGAAGAGCATCAGGTAATTTATCTCCTCTATGGTTTCTTTTCTGTTCAACCCTGATTTCTATACACTTTTCAATATTTAGCTTGCAACATAATGTAATTATAACTGGCATGAAAAAAGCAAACTAGATATTTTGTTCACATCTATATCTCCAATTTCTAGCAATTCCCACCTACTACCTTAGCTAGCCTAAGTTCCTTGCAAGAAATTATTATGTCATTTACATCTATGACGAACACAGAAAAACTATTACAAACGTTTGTCGTTTGCACTTAAATATTCAATGTTTCTTTAACTTCCGTTTGTTTTTTGTAGGTTCCTGCATCAAGCAAACAGCATGTGAGTATTTTGACATATGACTAGTTATGGTTTTGTAAAAAGGAACTTTTGAATTTTGAATTCAAACCACACCATTGTGTACCAAGGCAAAAAAGTAAAACTAAAAGCATCGGAAATTTTTCCAGTTAAAAGTAAATTATGAAGAAAAATAAGAAAAAGAAGATAAGAGTTAGTCACTATGGTATCCAGAGAAAGTATCTACCATCTGGGAACAACTTCAAGCCCACATAGGAAATGGGTATTGATTCACCCTTGAGGTTTGAAGGAGAATTTCTGCATAGATAAGCAACTCATCAGCCAGAATCCCACGTTGGACAATTCGGGACTTTAATTTTATTTCAATCTATTTGAAGAAGCAGCGATTTGTAAAAATGACGTAGGTTTTTTCCTTGTCAAGTGACTGTCATTTGGTCTTGGTTCTAAATTGCATTAATTAACTGCTTTTATTAGCCAAATTTCATCAAGTTTTTGGATTTTGAAGATATCCAATAGGGCTATTTTTAATTTTTTATGGCTTAAAATGAAAACGGCAGAACACTAAACCACTATATAAGGCATGAAAATAGGTAGGAATGTGATTAAATTAAATTTTTCGTATATTTTACTTACCTAGAAAATTCTAGTTAAACTTTGATAAATGAACATAGTTTAAAGCTCATTGATTAAATCTTAAGCAAAAGATATCAATAAAAAAACATACACACAATACTTTTTCATTCCTAACACTATTTTGAACCTACGCTTTTAAAAATTCGTAATATATTCTTTAAAGTTTGAAGCTTTTTGAATGCAGTGGCTGTATGATTTTTTTTTAATGAAAAAAGTTGATTTACAACATATCTTGGGTCTATAAGCCTTCACTTTTTTCAACTTCTTTATTTCTTTATTCCCCTTTCAGCTAGCAGAATTAATGGTTTCTTTTTGAGACTCAGTGAAAAGGATGAAACCTTTTTGTAGAAATAGGAAAAAGCAAACAAAATGCTATCTAAACAACTTAAAATCAGTTAGCCTGTAGAGAAAATTTCTCTTTAAAAAATATTTGCTCATTCTAGTTTCACTTTTAGTCGAGGTTAGAACAGCATAGAATTATTGTTACAATAGCCTCGTTTTCTTTATACAGGGCACCTGCAAGCCCGTTGTTGGGCGCCAAAAATTTATATGGCAATTGGAGAGCGGTTCCTCCCCTCCAGCGTTGACTTCTTTTTAAGATATGTCAACATGTTCAATAGCCATGGTCGCCTCGTCCAGACAAATTTGAGAACATCCAACTTGCTGCCCCTTCAACGTGGTTTCTTAGGAACTAAGCAGAGACTCAGATCCGCAACATCAGAATTGCCCTTTTTCCGAGGACAGCACCCAAAGTAAGTTTCACATTTGAATATTTGCTGCTTCATTGTGGTATCTCGTTATCAACATCGCAATTTGCGATTTTTTCATGCAATTTTAATGATGACACCCTTATTTCTTGTCACTCGCTCTGTTCATTTCATAATTGTACTAACAAGCATTCTCATATTCTCATTAAAGTTTCACCCGTTAGTCCGCATCAGGTTTGCATTTGAAAATCACCCTTACTAGCGGCGTAGAAGGGAATTTTCTGAGGCGTCATCTTCTTGCAATGTTAAAATGAAAGATTTATTTCTTGAATAAAGCTTTGAAAAAAGCAAACATTTTCAAGTTAACAGTATGTTTGCTTTTTTCAAGCCAATTACAAGTTCTGTACCGCCATAAAACTGTTCACATTTATTTCTTGTTATTCAAAAAATGTATTGTACATTGTACATCGTTTCTCAAGCACTGTACCTTGCTCTTTGGCTGCCACTTGATAAACATTTTACTAGCACTCAGAGGAAACCGATATGCTGATGTTCTGGAACAATGCTTGCTTCAGGCTAGAGGCTTGATGGAAATTCTTACGAATCCTTGTCTGTGGCTGTCATCTATTCTAGAAACCCTACCTTTGGTATTCATGTAACCTCTCAATTGCATTCCAGATTTGTTCCAATTTACGTGTTCTTCAAACAATTCAGAAGAGGAAACGATGTGTTTCGCACCTTCTACTACTATGTATTTTTCCCTTACAACCGTGGGAAGCATGCTTGCATGGGACCAGTTATAAACAACAAATGTACGACAAGAAATTGTCGCTGGTTTGGAAACCATGTTGGCGATTGGGAGCATGTCACTATTCAGCTGAAGAACAATTACCCCTACAAAATGTACATAAGTGCCCACGACTTTGGCGGCACATACTGGTACAATTCAAGAATAGGGGCATTTGCCAAGGGTAAGTCAATGCGATTCAGATCTTTATTCCTTTATCTATCTATCTATCTATCTATCTATCTATCTATCTATCTATCTATCTATCTATCTATCTATCTATCTATCTATCTATCTATCTTTCTATCTATCTTTCTATCTATCTTTCTATCTATCTTTCTATCTATCTTTCTATCTATCTTTCTATCTATCTTTCTATCTATCTTTCTATCTATCTTTGTATGGGGTACTGAATACCTTCTAATGAGGGGAGATAGAGTAGTCAATTACTTACAGATAGTGAAAGAGTTTCACGTTTTTCAAATGGAGTATGTAATTCTTTGCTAAATCTAACAGTACTTTTGAGTGTTGTTACAGCGGCTTAACGAGGGTTTGGGGGTAGAGAGAGGGCGCCGGGGCGGTAAGATCTTTCAGGAGTTTAGTGAAGTAAGATCTTTCAGGAGGTTGGCGGCAAAAACTTACAAAGAAGACCTTCTAAAAATGGTTGGAAAATGCATCTAAATATTTAAAACATCACTCTAGACCCATGGAAGGTTCTGGACAATATCCATAAGCTTTATTCAAAATATTGCCCCAAGGCCGTTGCAAGGCAGGCCTTGTTTGGGTTTACTACAAATTTGCCTGATTGAAAAGAATTACCTGAACATCTTTAGCTGCTGATACCATCCCGCCGCAATACATTCTGTCGATTCACAACATCTATATTCACATAATGGTATTTGACCTTCCAGGAAAAGAAAACTTTCGAACTGTGACACTTTTAACGCTTTCTCTTAACAAAATGTCCACAGACTGAAAGCCATTTGATGGTTTTAAATAACTTTCAAGTGTTTTTTGTTTTCTAGATTATGCAGCATAATTTTCTTCAGATTGGGACATAATCTTTCAGCTTTTTTCCTAGCATTTCTTATTTCTTCCTTATCAAAACTCCTTCCACATGCCCAATAATTTTTTGAAATGGTCCCTAGTGCAAGTATAGAATGCAAGTAGAAGCTCAATATACCGCAGCGTTTCAAGCCCACAAATATTGCTAAACATTTTTTAGCAGAAAAAAGTTCAGTTATCGCAAAATATTAACCAAATGAATCTTATACAGATGTGAAATACCTTCTGTAGATAATGTGGTGAAATGCTTAAATGGTCAACATGGGAATCTTATACAGATGTGAAATACCTTCTGTGGATAATGTGGTGAAATGCCTAATACAATCTTCAATGCGTGTTTGTTGTTATAATAGAATGAGCTGGTTGGCCTATACCGTTAGCAGTAATGGATGTAGTAACATAACTCACTCTATCAAATAACCTATAAACCAATCATAGCAATTTAGTAAAACTGGGGTTTAGATTTAGGCAAAAAGATTTAGTTACTGAAATTGAATGATGATAATGGAAGCATTTCCTTTTGCTGTTGACTGTATCTGCCGCACAAACCAAACAGGGAACAAAATTTTTATTTGCCACAACTTCACTGCAACGGATACACAACCATTTGATTTTAAAGCTCTGGAATCAAAGTTGTTTGTGATTGGTTTAAATCGTTTAATTATCGATCAAGCTCAACAGTGCTTGGATTTCATTCCCGTGTCAATAAAGTCAAGCACAATAGGGGACAGACTGCCTTTAAGTGTCTAGATATCAAATGAATTGCTTTTTCGTGTCTCTTTAATGCAAGCACCTCCAGTTTCTGTTCCACTTATTGCATCTTGCATTATCCAGTCAGCATTGTTCAGTATTAACTAATGTAGGCAGCCGTATTCATTGAAACTTGCCTCTTTCCATCTAGGTGGAGACAGAGTAAAGTTTACTCGATGCGGACATCCAATTGTGTTCTGTGCTAAAGGTTCTCATGGCATGTGGACAAAGCAAGGCGTCCACACCTACAAAAAGCTGATATATGGCGAAAAGCTCGATGACGTGGCTTCTGCTGGCATACCTTGGGACACATGGAAATTCATTAAATTGATACGTCACAAGAAGAAGGCTGGCTATAGAGGAACCAACCGGTGGCTCAATTTTAATGGAGATTGGGGTAACAGGGAACGTGCTTGCTTTCGTATCCGTCTGTTTAAAAAGCAACTTGTAAAGCAGTGTACCCTTAATGGTGGTCCTTCGTCTTTAAACAACAGGATGCAAAGCAACTTCTAATAGGGAAGACAGCTATGGAACTCGACAAAACTTTACAGCATGAACTTTTATTTCTATTATAGCTTGAAAACACATTTACACGTTTCTAATGCACTTTTTAATTTGCAATGAGTTAACAAAATCATTTATGCGTGTTTTATACTTTTGTCATATTCTCTGGTACTAACAAAAAACAATATCTAAACTTTTCTCTGCTAAACTTTTTTGAGACGTTAACTCAAAACCAACTAAATAACATAACATTACTCTATAACATAAAAAGATATTTTTTAAACTGGGTTGTCAGGTGGTCTGGGTACTAAGTAAATAGATCAAACGACTGTTTATGAAAATAGGCCAAATCACATCAAAATAGGCCAAATTTATCTAAGACACAATGACGTCATGATGTGCAAGCGCAACAAAGGCATTCCTAACTACATGGTGGATAAAAAATAAATTTAGAACTGTTACAGCTGCAATATGCACAATCAACTGTAAACAAGCGTAAACATAAATAAAATGTTTTGAAAAATTAGCAAATGTATTCCAAACTCTTTTGACGAAATTTATCAATAACTTTACATTTGAAATACATATTTAATTGGTTACACCAAGTTATAGAAAGTAGTAATCTAGTAAAAAAAGTTATCAATAAATTAGAGCATGGCTAAAACTACATTTAGGAAAAGCAAATCAGCTACAGGTATTCAGAAATAGCAATGCTCTCTAATAGAGTCTGTGTGTCCTCAAACGTTGCATACATGTTGATTGTATCCATAGATTAAAACTCGAGAAAAATGAAGGCTTATTCAGTATCTATTGTATCTTGTACACATGTGTAGATCAATTTCTGCTGCTGGTACTTAAGCGAGTCATTCATTACTGATATATTGCTAATTGCTGCTCAATACACTATCAATGGAAATACTGCAAAAGTCAGTCAATCAAGTGTTTAAAATGAGCTATAGCACTTGACTATATGACTTAACTAATATGACTTGACTACCCTGGGTAACAGACTCCCTATTATTTTATATAGTGGATTAAATCAATGCCACCCTGTCCGGCTCGTAGCGAGTGTCCCTTGACAAAAACTGTTATGTTCTGAGAATAATCATTTTTTTAGTCAAGGGTATAGACATATTATGGCCATAAGCAAGAGGCCCAAGGTAAAATTACGTAGCCAACTTTTGAAAAAGGCAAAATTTCTCAAATTTTGCCTCCCAGTAAGCCAGTTGGCAACTCTATTTCAAAGAAGACTCACCTCCAAAAATCAAATTGATATTCTAATTTCTGATTTTCTTTCCATTTGGTACACTGACTTCTGATATTTTTGGTATTTGGTATTCTGATTTTTAATATTCTTTTTATTCGATATTCTGATTTCTGATATCCTTTCCATTTGGTACACTGATTTCTATCCGATATTCCGAATTCTGATATTTGTAGAAAACAGATTGTTTTTAATCTTATTTTATTTGTTGTTGTTTACGTAGAACTAAGATATGTTTAGCCTTTTTATAATTACCCTGTTATAATTAGATATGTTTAGCATTGTTTAGGCATGTGATATTTTTTCTATTGGATATTCTGTATTCTGATATTCTTTCTATTGGATGTTCTGATTTCCAATATTCTTTCTTTTCGATATTCTGATTTCTGATATCCTTTCCATTTGGTACACTGATTTCTGATATTGTTCCTATCCGATATTCTGATTTCTGATATTTGTAGAAAACAGATTGTTTTTATTCTTATTTATTTGTTGTTGTTTACGTAGAACTATTTTGAACTTTTGACCCTGTTATAATTAGATATGTTTAGCATTGTTCAGGCATGTCCTCGGGGACACGTGATATTTCTTCTCGTGATAAGCGTTTCTTCGAGGATTTTTAATCATAACCCTATATAAGTATTGGGCGTGTTTCACCCACGGACAGAAAGAGAACAGCATCGGTAGTAGTTCAGAACGAGTTGCAAGCAAAAGATGAAACCGTTTTAGGCGTAGTATTTAGCTGTGGATAAGCCTATTGCTTAGATAATGCTACGAGGTCAAACAAAAAGTAAGTTTAATTTCGGTTAATTTGTTATTGTTTATGTTGCTTTTTCTTCCCGTTGTTATTTTCATTTAGTTGCATCTAGCATTACATTACATTACATCTAGAACTCGCTAATTAATTATGTTTACATTTATCAACTATTTTGTAATCTTGTTTATTTAGCGAACAATTATCTAGATTGTAAGAACGCCAGCGTTGGGTTTGCTTTGTGGTGTTTGGGTTCATTTCTAATTAGTTCGTGCCCTCCTCTGTAGCAGATTTGCTTTGAAGCTACAATATTCTCTCTATTCGATATTCTGTATTCTGATATTATTTTTATTTGATATTCTGATTTCTGATGTTCTTTCTATTTGGTACACTGATTTCTGATATTCTTGGTATTTGGCATTCTGATTTCCAATATTCTCTCTTTTCGATATTCTGTATTCTGATATTATTTTTATTTGATATTCTGATTTCTGATGTTCTTTCTTTTTGGTACACTGATTTATGATATTCTTGGTATTTGGCATTCTGATTTCCAATATTCTTTCTATTTGATATTTTTATTTCTGATATTGTTTCTATTAGATATGATCTGCTATCTGATCTAACTTTATACCAAATCAAAAACAGGAGAACAGGTCTCTTACAAAGCTTCAAAAAGTATTTATAAAAGAAAATCTACCGGCAAGTAAGTAAAACCATTTATCCCAGTATAATTCTAACAATGTTGTTGATGTTGCAAGTAAGGTTGGTGTTTGCATACTGGCTGAGCTACCTTTAATTTAAAGGTTTTCATGTTGTGTTTGTTGCTTAAGTTTAGGTTACAAATATTGGCTTGTGGTTAGCGCTGTTTGTATGAACTACGAAACAGACCTGTAGTTGTGACACAATTTATAAATTGAAAGTTTAAATAGTCTGACTTTGATTCTAGAAAATTAACATAACTAACATTTCAATTAGGACTTAAATCTACAAAAAGACAAAGAATTTTATTGCAATTCTTAACCACCGAGTCAAACATTCTTCTTTAATTCTTTGATTAAAAAGGCTGTCAGTTATGCTGCTTCACGTTCAGCATAAAGTATAAACAAGCTTTTAGCTGACAAACTTTTCACCATTGTTGGACATTTGTGTCTGTGACATCGATATCACTCTCACAAATATCAAAATGGTTATGATCATGATAATGATTGAAATCAGGGTCGTGATTAAAATAGCAGTGACAGTCATTGTTGTCATCAGTTGCGAAGTCATATTCATGTTGTCACTATCATTAGCATCATTTTCAACAGTATAAAGACATTTAGTAAATTCGTAAACGTGATAAGAATCATAATTATTGTAGTGATCACTAAAAATCGCCAGCTTTTCTCTCGTTTCCCATATAAAAACTCTGCCTTTCAACAGAATAAATAACCCTAATTGGTAATCATTGCTATATGTGATTAAATCAATAAACAATCGAAATGCTAATCATGTTCTTAGTGATGGTTGTGATTATTATAATTATTATCCATTACATCAACAACTTCATCTGCACCATCCTTAAGCAATTGTCAGCAGATAGGCTGCAGAATTGGTGTTTGGTTACTGCCTTAGATTGACGCATTACAAGATTTGTTAACAAGTCTTTTTGGACAGGAAATGTGTTTTATTTGAAAGCATTTTGTGATGGCGACCATCCCTTTTAGATTAGCTAAAAATACATTCCAGAATATTTTTTGGAGACATTTTCTTGTAATTGTTCAAAACGTTGTGCACATTTTAGGCATGGTTTTGTTATCTTTTCCTTATTGCTTTCTAATTGCTTATCTCTAACTAATTACCAATTGACAATTTCGAAGTACTTTATTTTATTTGGTAATTTTGAAATATGAAATAATGGCAAGATATCATAAATAAATATGAAATAATGTTATCCCCACTTACAGCAGGGCCTACTCGACGAATTTGAAAGTGGGGGGGGGGGCGAGGCTGGCAAAAGTAGGGGCAGGCTTTTTCCCTTTTTACTAGCTTTAGGGCCCCAATAATGGGTCAGTCAATCAGTCAGTCTGCTTCGATCCTCTCTTTGAAATCAACCATAATTTGTCAAACGCTGTTACATCGTTGAGGCGTTCTACAAGATTCCATTCTTATACCAGTTAATCTGGCAACCATGTGCAACACCCGATAAATAAAAACTTTTCTGGAGAACACACGTGTTGGGTTTCATTGTAGAAAAGCGTTTGAAACTGATGTCAGATATCTTTTTGGCTGATGCGCAATAAAAATGCCATTTTTTGCTATTTTCCTTGGTTTTTTACCAAAGGTAGCAGAAGTTTAGCGATCTTAGATTGAAAAGCACTGATACCTGTTTTAGGGGGCAACAGACGACAAAAAATAAACCAATTTCAACATGAAGTTATTCTAATAACATTAACCAATCAAATTTAGTACTGAGTTGAGCAATGTGAAGAAATCACAAGTTGAGATTTATGTTTATAATTAATCATTTACTTTTGTTAATTCTAAATTAATAAGAATAAAGTAAAAAATACATTTCTATGGAAATAAAAACGGTAAATGTGTTACTGGAGGAACGGGCTGATGCAGCGTAAAACCAAATAAAGGAAGACAATAATAAGGGCAGCACTTTTATTTTGCTAAACGATTTTACTTTTGTGCTTAAAAAAGGGGGGGGACATTAGTGAAAAAGGACACTTTACTCACTTTGTATAAAGTACCCACTGAATAAACACCCACTGAGTAAAGTGGAGACAGGTAAGGTCTTACAAAAAGCACCTGTGTTTGGTATCTATGTAGCTCAAGAAACACAAAGTCCACAAATAGAGAAAATCTAGGTATTCTCTCCTCTGAATTGTGTTACAAAGGGCGTTATAGTTTTCAGTAATTATTTAGCAATAGATTTTAATTCCTGACTCTAAAATTATCATACCTGAATTTTTATGTCAACTGGAAAAGATACATGAAAACTTGACTCCATCCTAATAAACACATAATTATATCAAAGAAAATAATATGGTTTGCAATTATCCAAAAATCCACAAAAATATATTTCCTATTAACAATAATCTATCTTTCAACATCATTTTTAATCAAGTCTCAAATTTTAACTGTTAATCTAATTTTTCACAAGACAAGATATGACCTTATCAAGTACAAACAAATAAAAAAAAGTGACTTATTAAGCTAGTCAAGAACAAGCATACTACCCCAAAACAAACGATCAAATGCAGCACTGTTGGGATTCACAAGTAAAGCTTTCAGCAGAGTACATCTCTCTTACTAGGGCATCGGGGCTAGAACCCTCAATGGAGGTATTGATTGTACTTTAAACTTATGAAATAAGTTTGTGAAACTTGACAAAAATCTTTGAAATCCATGCTTTGAAATTAAATTAATAGAGGCCCTATTTATAAGATATATTATGTCATTTTTTATTCTTATTGAATTGTTTGGAAATTACATTGTGTTAAAAAGGCATTTTCAATAAACAATGTGCTTGAAATTGGTTGCTTTTAAATTTTTCTCAAATTCTCATTTTATTTCTTATATATAATTGATTGAATTAAACATATTTACAATCATGTCAGATTTATATCCTAATGCATTTTTGCATTTTCAAATGTCCATGCACAAAAGATGATATGTCTCTGTCTATTTGTAAATGGCCAAAACTAACACCATTTGAGAACACCAATTTGTATTGTGTGCAATCACTTTGGCGGCTCAACTGATGAAATCCAAATACAAACAAAATACCAAGGGCATATTGAAATGCTTGCAAATAAAGCCCCAATCAGATATAAAATAAATATGTACCATAAAAACAAACAGAAACATCGAAATCCATTGTCAGACTGTATCTGTGATGATATGAGCAGGACCAAAAGTATTTAACAATGACATAACCATAATCAAACTGATTTTTCAGTAACAAAATGTGATTAATTTTAGGTCTACATCTATCTTGTTTATCATGAGCAATTTATATGTTACTATGCGTATTTGTAAACACTTTGAATGCTATGTGAATTGTGTTGGGTAAGAATGCCAGATACTCGAGATATGACTATGGCTTGACCAAATACCTATAAACTATGACTTAGAAATCACTTCAATGCATTTAAAAATCTTAGAAATATTGCATGGAAGTATTCCATTTGTTCGATGTGACAAAAATGTCCAGCATTTGGCACCTCTACAATTTCTTTGTTTGGGATCATTTTTAAATTTTCTAATGCACCTGCTCCAAAGTTCTTGTCATTACCACCATATACAATTAGAGTGTGGGTCTGTAGAATTCTGTATTCCTTTCCAGTGAACTTATCTGTCTCTGACGGGGATATTGCCACAAAGCCTTTAAGGGCATATCCACCACGCACAACCAGAGGCAACCCATAAGAGCCAGTATAAGATGGTACAACCAAAACTGATTCAACTGCATTCAATTTCCTCAGAGCTTCAGCCAAAATGGCTCCCTTCAAGGGGTATGTAGGCCATGGTGTTGCGTCCGAAAAAAGTATTGGCAGATAAATGATTATAACACGATAACCTTCTTTGCGCAGGAATTCCGATGTCCCAATACTTTCCCATGTATTTGATTTCATTGACTGCTGATAGAGCAAGACAACTGTCGTTAATTTATTCGGATGTTGTACGACTTCAGGAACAGCTTCATCATAGTAAAGTCTTAGAGAATTAATTTCTTGCAAATCGACAACAACGTAATGACTTTTGAAAGACTTTCCTATTTTCTTGATTATGCTGAACATGCAAAAGATAAAGACGCATCCAAAAATGAACGGCAGAAACCGTCTTATTATAGCGGGCCTAAATCTCAGCGCAAATGGCAGTTTGCTACGCACAGATCGAAAAAAATTCCCCAACATGACAAGGAAAATTTGTCATTCTTTATCCGTAGATTATATTCACATCAAACACGAACAAGGATAAATTCAGTTGACTTCCACTAGTTGCAGACCAAATGTTGATAGCTTACCCATGTTTGATTCGATGTGGCTCTAAAATGTAATGTCATTTGCCACCTTAATTTGTTGTTGTGACTGCGCACACCTATATTTACTCCACTATTTCCGCAGCGGGATTAGCGTTTCAAGCACGGCTCGTCAATGATCAAATCGTGGACCAAAATGGTTTATTTTCTGTTATATCTCTAGTAAGCTCCACGGACGCTTTTAATGGAAAACGTTCGCATGTATTGTGGGGTCTTTTAGAAGGGGGTTCAAACAAGGGGCATACCTATTTTTCAGAGTGATTTATCATTGCACATTTTGATGGAAATAGTTGTGTTGTTGTTGGCGTCCTTAGCAAACATTTACTTACCCCCATTCTTTAGCTTTGCTTTTAATGGAACAACACCATTTTGCAACAAAGATACTAGAAGAACAAATCATTAGTGATTTTTATCGATATCGCAATTGATATATATCAACTTAGGCAACTGGTGATACAAGAGGTTGAACAATTTTTGACAAGTCATTCGAAATATCAACACATTTGCAACTTTTTTCAAAAATAAAAAACAATAAATAAATAGTTAAAGTTAAAAATTTTCTGTTTTTTATCCTTTCTTTTTTCATTTTTCCACGCGGTTTCATTGTCACTGCAAAATTTTGAGAAACTGCTGCGTCAAAATATTCGGATCTCGTTCACCGCGAATTTATTGCTTGCTCGAAAATTATTAAGGACTGCAAAGGCCTCGCAATAACTTCTGGAATAAAGGCACCTGTTACTCAAAACCTAAACAAAATTTTGAAAATAAACAACAAATACATGATCTGTGCTTGCGAAAAACTGCTAGTTTTTGCAATAAAAGTGTGTTTGGTGCTGTCCTTTGACTTTCAGGTAAAATCTTTTGGATGGAGATCTCAAGCACAATGTCGGTTAGTCCATTTTTACTTGAAATAGCTTTCGACTTGATGTTAAAGCTACAGTTTGTCTTCATGGCTTGTATACTTTTGAAGGCAATCAACTGATACCAAATTGGCTGAAAGGCATTTGACTCAGAAAAAAATGGCCACCAGAGCTTGACCAATCAAATTGCTCACAGAGCAAACATGTAAACAGTTCCTTAGAGCAGCGCACAGTGGTTTCACGTGAGCAGTTGCCTATTACAGGGCCGCCGGAGCCAGGGGGGCCACGGGGGCACAGGCCCTCCCTGTTTGCGAAAGGTATAAACAAGTGCCCCTTTTTGAAAAATATTTTGCGTGTTTTTTCAATGCCAGATATTCTGCCCTTAGAAACTAGGTAAAATAACATAACTCTGGAGGTTGTTGGAGGACCATTCATTGAAAATTCCTTAAGTGTTTACTTGGTCTTGATGCGAAAAGCGCAAGCTCCTGTGATGAACAATATCAACTGCGAAGGAGACTGCCTGTTCCGCGAGAAAATTTCCTTAGTATGTCTTCAGCAACAAACGCATTAGTGAAAGGGTCCGGTCAAGTCCCCGG